ATGGAGAGGCTTTTTTCTTTTTTTTCCTTAAAAATTGCAATATGGCGTACTATTCCGATATCACCATTTGCGATTTACCAACAGTCAAGCAACGTGGTTGAACCAGACATGAACATTATAACATGCTTTACAAGTGAAGAATTTTTTCTGACTGTTTCCTTCACCCTCGTCGATCTTAAGTTTCTTTTTCAGCAGAGTTTTGCTCGACACTGTAGCCGCTAAGACCTACGCATGCAAAGGTAAACAAAACTTATGAATAGTATCACCACCGTAATGCCCTTGTCATGGTGCTACTGATTGGAAAGATTTTATCGTCTTGTACCTCTAGCCGGTAGGATCTTAGGAGGCTTAGCAAATACTACCGGCTAGAGGTACAGCTTGTATATTTGATAAACTTTGCTCAGTTGTTACAATGGTTTTCTTCGCATTTTACTCTTTCCGTGCTCCAAATTAGTCTTACACTCATTTGAATCACCTTTTTCAAAAATACGTATTCATTCATTTATTTTTATTTGGTCTTGAACCTGTGGCTGGTAGAATCAAGGGGGGCTTAAAGAATACTACCGGCTAGAGGTACAGCTTGCATAGTGGACTTTGCCTAATTTTTATTACGGTTTGGTTCACATTTGACTTTTCTGCATTCCAAGTTGTAGTTTTACACTCTTTGGAATAATTTTTTTTTTAAGAGTACATTTGAATATTTGTTCTTTTATTTTTTAGATTAGTCATACCCTCCTTGGCATCACTTTTTCCATGAATTCATTTACATTTTGTCCTCTCTTAATTAGTCTATAACCTCAGCTAGTAGGATCTTAGGAGGTTTAGAAAATACTTGAAATACAGCTTACTTACTTCATTGACTTTATCTTATTTTTGTTAGTCTGCTTTAAATTTTACTTTTTGGCATTACATTTTAGTCTTAAACTAGATTGGAATAATTTTTTCCAAGAATATCTTCTTGTTGCTTGGTTGTGTACCTACCAATGCTTATTTGATAACACAGCACACAAGCTTTGAGCATCAAATGACTCTTTATAGGGAATCAGCTGAAACTAAAGCAGGCATTATAGGGCAATAAGCTATGGATTTCTAGTTAGTGTTCAAATAAGAAAAGTTTGATTTCTTTTTAATAATAGCAATTTTTATTTAAAAAATACAGTAAATAACACAGGCACAGGTTAATATCATTTATATGATTGTAAATTCTGTATATATTGTAGATAACTATTTTATATTTTAAAGAATAACTCGACTTAAGGTTTTCAGACAGTCATACATGCTGTTAAATATCAAAGGGAAAATGTCAATTTGGTGAATGAAAATCATGTTGTCATATGACTTCCTAAAGATGACTTGATTTTGGTTTTTCAGACAGTGATAACACAAATATCATGAAAATAGAGACTGTTCCTTTCTAAGAACTTACACTCATACTTAGACAGAGTATTACATGACAACCTTTGGTAAATCTTGTTTACATGTTCAAGTCTAACATGAATTTCAAGTCAAATTCATCTAAAACTGGTTATATTTGTATTGAAATAAATCTGCAACTGAAGAAAATACAAATCAGGCTAGTTTAAAATTTATTAATTTGAAATTAATTTAAAACATAGCAATGTTAATGATTTAAAGCTTTATTCACATACATAAGCTTGCCCTCTGACTGATAGTGATTTCTGAGTAATCTAAGATCCTACTAGCCAGATGAACAAGACTGCAAAGCATGAAAATATAGGTATGGAGTGACTCCATAAACAGTATAAGACTAAAATGGAATGTAGAAAGGTTTTTCCATAGAACAAGAAGTAAATGAAGTAAGCTAAATTCACCTTAAATGCGCAAAGTTCTCCTGGTCTAAGTATTTTCTAAGCTATCTAAGATCCTACCAGCTTGAGGTACATGACCAAGAAACGAGAAGATATTCATGAAAAAAGTGATTCTAATGTAGTGTAAGACTAAATGGAATTTTAAAAAAGTAAAATTCAAAGCAAACTGTGATAAAAATTGGGCAAAGTTGATTAAATATGCAAGCTTTACCTCTAGTATTTTCTAAGCCCTTTAAGGTCCTACCAGCTAGAGGTACCATATAAAAAAAAATAAATGTAAACACACTCTGATAAAAAGTAATTCCAAGGATTGTAAGTCTAAGTTGAAGAGTAGAAAAGGAAAATGTGGTGTAAACCATGGTAAAATCTGGACAAAGTCGACTAAATATGCAAGCTGTACCTCTAACCGGTAGTATTTTCTAAGCCCCTTAAGATCCTTCGGGCTAGACTTACAAGACCAAATAAAAAAAAATAATTAAATGGAAACGTATTCATGAAAAAAGTGATTCAAGGGAGTGTAAGACTAATTTGGAGAGCAGAAAAAGTAAGATGTCAAGCAAACCATAGTAACAATTGGGCAAAGGCGACTAAATATGCAAGCTGTACCTTTAGCCGGTGGTATTTTCTAAGCCTCCCGAGATCCTACTGGCTAGAGGTACAAGAGAATAGAAATATTTTCAACTAATAGGATCTTTTTAACCAGTAGCATCATGACAAGGGCATTAAAGTGGCGATACTATTCATAAGTTTTGTTTACCTTTGTAAGCGCAGGTCCGGTTATAGTATTGAGCAAAAACTCTGCTGCATGAACAAGAAACTTGACATCGACGAGGGCGAAGGAAACAGCCACACAAAGTTTAGCGAAATTTCCTTCATTTAAACTCAACAATGTATTCTTCGCATGTAAAGCACATCATAATGTTTAAGTCTGGTTCATTCATATTAGGGGTTGTGCATAAATCCTACCGGCTAAAGGTTCGCCCAAGGAGCACTGATAACAAGTTTCTTAGGCGGATGATCGGATTTCAATCAAGAAAATTGCGCTAAATTTTGTGTGGCTGTTTCCTTTGCCCTCGTCGATATTAAGTTTCTTATTCAGCAAAGTCTTAGCTTAACACTGTAGCCGCCAGGACCTTAATTCTTGCCGAGGTAAACAAA